AAGCATTTCAATCCACCTAGGTGATTCTCCGAGGGAAAGTCTTAATCCAATGGTTCATCAAAAAGGACAGTAGATATTATTTTAATTTCTGTATTATATACATTCAACAACTCTCTTCATGAATGTGTAACTAATCTGTAAAGTCCACTGTGGGCATAATCAGGAAAATATGCCCTCCCCCCTTTCAAATAAATCATAGTCATTTCACTCTTTTCGTGTCACTTGCCTTTATACGATATGTAATACGTGTATATGTACAATGGGTAAGATATAAAAACCTTCTTTTTTAATGTCCTTAAAGCTAATACACTTATTTAATGGAACATTGCCAAGAAAAGGCGTAAAGAATTTCGGTTTCCGGAAGTGGATTGAAATGCAGTTTGAAATTTGAATTTCAATCTAATGTTTTCTCGATCGTCCGCGTGGTACAAAACGCGGACGGCCGAGAAAACATCCATGTGTATTGCGGACGGCCGAGAAAACATTGGATTGAAATGCAACTTTCAAGAAAGCATTTCAATCCACCTAGGTGATTCTCCGAGGGAAAGTCTTAATCCAGTGGTTCATCAAAAAGGACAGTAGATATTATTTTAATTTCTGTATTATATACATTCAACAACTCTCTTCATGAATGTGTAACTAATCTGTAAAGTCCACTGTTTAGATTCACATGTTCCATGGAATTTAAAACAAAATTGATATGTAGGAATTTTTTTGTTTGGAAAGGTTTTTGATTCAAATTTCTGGACATTAATATGAAAAAAGGTTACCTTTCAAAGTTATTTTAACACCTACAAGAACTAAAAGAACACAAAATCCTCTAATGTTCCATAACAAAATGTTATGAAATCCTCCTCTGGGGCCCAGCACAGGGGATCAGAATCTCTATATTTTTTGGGCATCAAGCATTTTTAGGTGGTATGGCTTTGGAGGGGTATAAACTCTCTCTAGCCAAGGCTCTGTGAATACATGTATAACATACAATTCTTTATTTTTTTCCAGAAACAATTTTATTTTTACTTCAACAAAGAAATACATATTTGCATAATATATTAATAATCATTAATCTATAAAGAATTTAAAGTTAAGTTTTAGTATAATATCATTTTCCTAAATAAAACAGAATATTCTTATTGTGTAAAATCAAAGATATACATTTCTAAGACATAATTATTTTTATCAGATATACATATATGTACATCACTGAATTATAAAACAAAAGTCCTAAGAGATCCATCCGAGCAATTGAACAGAATTGATCCCTCCTTTCTTCTTCAGCTTACTGAATGGGAGGGAGACGTGACAAAGGTTTAGCTGAGTAACTTCTGTAGGTGTCTAAAAAATCAAAATTAGTTCTTTCAAATTACTCAGTTTAAACAAGATATGTTAATAAGAATTTGAAGATATTTTTTTTTTATAATAAAATGGCATTGCTATTGTATTGGAAGTCTTAACTTCTGCCATTTATATGAATTTTCTTTCATGATGTTTGCTTGTGCCTTTTCCACAACCAGATTATTGCAGTTGCATACATTGTTTATTTTAATATCACTATCTGCAAATGAATCCTGATTCCCCTAACATGAGGACCCCAAAATGGATTAATATGCTCGGCATCTTCACTAAGAATTTTGCCTGCCTACATTTTATCCCCATCTAACTCAGCATAAATTGCATTTTGGCCTTAAAAACTTTTATGAATTTGAAGAATATACAATATAGTTCATTTGTAATTAAAATTTTAACCAGCAGTTAATTTTCCTTTTAACAACTCTTTTCATGAAAGGGTAATAAATTTTATTTATTAAAATTGAGGCTTAAAAAATCACCAAAATTTCAAATATGCACGAAATTGCATAAATGATCCTTATATCCTTCAGTACATTATATATGTAAAATTCAAAGTACAAGAATGAAAAACATTTTTTATTTGTTTAATCAAATGTGTTAACTTGAAGGAAGAAAGGCATAACGAAACTATTAGTCACAGTTCTTTCAACTTGCAGATATGATGCTATGCATGCAGTAAATTATCCTAATCAATGTTCATTGATTTCTCCAATGTTTTTAACTGGACATACTGACCAGCATCAGAGACACTGTCCACTGTGTTAGCCTCAGTCTCCACCCAGTTACCAGACGTACTGTTGGTTTTTCCCACCATGGGCCGGGGAACATCCACACCTATATTACAAGTACAGCACGTACAGTTGAGAAAATGCAAAAAAAAAAAAATGTGCAAAAAAAAGGTATTTTTTGTGGTTGGTGCTTCTCATGAAATTAAATTACATTCACCCTATAACCCAAACTGAACAAATTTATTAGAATATACTTCTTGAGAGGTCACTATGATAATCTTCATTGTATCACACTTAAGATGTTTTCTACCTTGCATGTTGGGTCCGTATGGCGTAGGAGACTGGGTGACCTGTTGGGATTTGTTAGCCTTGGTTTTGATCAGATAGATACAATCCCAGTCATAATGATGATCAGAACAAAAGCTCCTACTGCTCCAGACACGATGAACATGGTGTAATTAGCTCCACTGTCTAAACATACATATAAATAGATTTTTTAAAAAGTGACCTTGTAAGATCAATAGCAGTAAAATAAAAAAATCTTCAAAATGAATATTGTTATCAGAAAGCAAGGAGATTTTAAATCTTTAGGGCATACCAATTTCAGTTCTGAGTTCTGATGTTGACCATGCAAATGAGTTGGTGTCCACAACCAATCGCTGCCCAGTAGTAGAGGTCACGACCAGTGACCCTGATCTGATGGCTTCCCTCAGCTGGAAGATGATTTCTCCCATGGTGGGCTCCGAGTCCAGAGCTCGAGAGAAGACCTCAAACTTGATGGTTATACTTCCAGCTACAACAGAAAGACAGTATAAAAAAGATGTTTTACAATTCAAATTATTTGTTGCTAAATTTAATTAATCAAGTTCCACTGTTTAAATGACCTAGTTTTATACACATTTGTCAATAATTGTTTTCCTAGTGTAGAAAGTTGTAATTTTTTTCTACACATCATTCATTATATCAATTCAGTTTTTTGATAATTTGAAGCCCAGGAATGAAAATCCTTCCCTGTAGGTGTCAATTCATTATAAGGTTGTTTGTTATAAACTTGTTTTATTACGGGTTTTTAATTGATGGATGAAGAAATGATTAGTAGTCATAAATTTGAAATTTTTACTTTTTAAAGTGGTAAAGAATTGGTGGGTCCCTTCAACCCCTTTTAAAAAAAAAATTTAACCCCCTTAAGAATAAGTGATTATAAAGAAATTTAATTAATAGTTTTTGGACAATAACAAATTTCTGTTAATCTTTTCCGTCATCGTCATCGTTTTTTACTTCTTCCACCTGTAGATTGGTTATCCTGGAGGCTGGGATTTTTGGTAGGAAGTAGATCTGCATAATGTGTAACCTGAAACTGTTCTCCTGTCCCGCTACAATGGTGGCAAAGTTGTCATGGAGGGCAAACAAAATGTACACCTTGCCGGCGTAGGCGGGGACGCTTAAGAATTACGGGGTTGTGGAGTCAGGGACAGGGAATCTTAGCTGGAAGTAAATGTGAAGTTCCCATGAAATAAAAAATCATAATAATTATTACACAATAGTTAAATGCAAAATATACAGTTCTACTTATATTTTAAGCCTGCATTATGCCCATAAATGAAAAAGTTTAACTTTGATATGTGTAAAAACAAGAGGCCCAAGGGCCTTGAATCGCTCTTCTGATAAATTGTACAACCTATCACTTCTATTTGAAGCCTCTAACCCTAAAATTCCAAGAGCCAAGTTGCATCAACTGACAAAGTTTGATGATTCTTAGCCAATTATAACTGAAGATATTTTAATAAAGCTATAAAAAAAACCATAAGTAGGTCACAATGACCTACTTTAAGATTGAAGTTTTCTGAGGACTCAAGATGCATTAATAAATATTTAAGATTCTAAGCCAATAAGTATGTGAATATTCAAAAGTAAGTCACCTTGACCTACTTTTTCATCTACATTCTTGGAAAAACCAAAATGCATCAACTGACAAAGTTTGATTATTCCAAGCCAATAAGTACTGGAGATACTTAATTATAGCCATGAAATGTTAAAAGTAGGTCACTGTGACCTAACTTTTAGTATGCGATTTTCGAAAGCCCAAAATACATCAACTGACAAAGTTTAATGATTCTCAGCCAATAAGTACCTATATTCAAAAGTAGGTCACCATGACCTACTTTTTGGTTGACATTCTCTGAAAACCCAAGATGCATCAACTGACAAAGTTTGATGATTCTAAGCCAATAAGTACCAGAGACCCTTAAATAAAGCCATAAAATGTTAAAAGTAGTCACCGTGACCTACTTTTTGGTCAACACTTCCAAAACCCAAGATGCATTCACCTACAAAGTTGATGATTCTAAGCCATATAAATACCTAAGATACTTAAATAAAGCTATAAAATGTCAAAAGTAGGTCACCATGACCTACTTTTTGGTCGTCACTCTCCAAAAACCCAAGATGCATCAACTCACAAAGTTTGATGATTCTAAGCTTATTAATACCTAAGATGTTAAATAAAGCTATAAAAAGTTAAAAGTAGGTCACCATGACCTACTTTTTGTCACCTCTCCGAAACCCAAGATGCATCAACTCACAAAGTTTGATGACTCTTAGCCAATAAATACCAAAGATACTTAAATAAACCAAAAATTTGAGTACCGCCCTTTTTAAAATTTTTTCCCCGAATTG